AAGAAGTAGAACCTACCAGTGGCGCCCTCCAATCATCCACCCACATCCTCCCACTGGAAACAACAAATAAGCACAGACTAGACTCTCACCTTTGCCACCCCCTCCTTGTTTGTCACCTCGTCTCCGGCTTTTCCCGGACCGTCTAGTCATGGTTTCTAGACGGCACGACCGTGTTGTCGCCCAAACTGGAGATGTGAGACTGCTGAGTTCCTCGGTTGCGAATCCACCTTGTTGGTACTCACGAAATTTGCCCCCCTCCAAAATTTGGATTAATATCAAGCCCCTCTAAATTTGGTCAGATTAAGTTGAGCGATAGAATTTACGTTTTAATGTAAGAAATGTGTGCAAAGAAGGGACAGAGGTTGCCCCCAAAAATAGCAATACGGTCCCCTCAATGATTTCTGGGCTTGGAACTCCTATACTATCACAAAACGGTTAAGTTGAGGGCTAGACACAAAACGGTTAAGTTGAGGGCTAGACACAAAACGGTTAAGTTGAGGGCAAGACACAAAACGGTTAAGTTGAGGGCTAGAATCAACGTTTTAGCGTAAGAAATGGAAGCAAGATAGGGAAAGGGACAGAGGTTGGCCAAAAAATAGCACTACGGTCCCTTCACTGGTTTCTGGGCTTGGAAACTCCTATACTATCACAAAACCGCGGTGTGTCTAGGTCTACATCCCAAACACTTTAGGCGGAACTTTTCGAATTCCTTTCAGTCGGAGGAAGTCTACACAACAACACTTCTACGCAAACAGACGAGTAGAGTAAAGCACCACTTTGTGGGATTGTAAAGGGGTTCAGAAACACGCTGGGAAGACCTCAATCTCTTCTTCGTCGATGGCGCACACAAAACTACAGTAACTCCTTCAACAAGAACCTTGCCTCTGTCTGGAGTCTCCGGTACACGATCAGACCTGAAACCTCTGACCAGTTGGCAGCTCAAAAAGGCCCGAAAAGAATATCTGGCTCAAGACTTAAGACCCAGTGAGTGTTGGTCAGCAGTGTTGCGTTAGGGGCCCTAACTAAAAAAACAGAACAAAACAGAACAAAACAGAACAAAACAGAACAAAACAGAACAAAACAAACCAGCAACCCCCTCACCCTCCACTAACACCCAACACCACAAAAGCCCACAAAAAATAACGACAAGAAACACAAAAACGAAACCCAAAGCAACAACAAGCCAAAACATTCACCACATTTTCTCTCTACTCACTGTTCTACCCAGAGTGATATCGTGTATATCTCGCCAGCTACACTTCTATCCCCCCCACCCCCTTCCC